TCGAACATCTATTTTCCGGTAAATAAATAGACTGGAATATTTCTTACACCTTACTAGGTTGAATGTCAATATCCCTTTTTGACCGAATGGCATTTGCGTCTAGGTCGAACTTATTAAGAATCGAGCTAGCCATATTTAAGACATGTATAAATGCTAAGTCTAACTTATTACATGGCATATAAGGTTAGAGGCTATTCTAACTCAATATCTGGCGTTTGAGATATGTACAGAGAATCCAAAAAAGAATCCTTTATAGCAGGTATAGAGGCTCCAAAAAAGGTTCCTCCAAAGTCTATAAATCAGCTGTATCCCTCACGAATCTCTAGATCGTTCACATCTTTTTTTCTACTTCAATTAATAGCTCACTTTTTTTAAATTACTTACAAAGAGCTTTCCAAAGACGTCTTCTTCTCATAATATATTCGCAACGCAATTGGAGCTGAAGCACAGACTCTAAGGCTTTGATTGCACCACACACTCACTCCTTAGTCTTTTTTTTTCTAGAACAATTCTGAATATCATTTAAGTCTGTCCAATTATAAATAGCTTGGATGCCGTAGAACAATTTGCCTTCATGGCACTGCATCCAAAGTGGGAATTATGCAAATGTACGGCAGCTGCTTGATGTGGCAAATTGAAGAAGCGACAGCGTGGTACAAGGATTTCGCGCTGCGCAGGCTGTAGCCGTGATTGACATGCATTTAAAAATAGTAGTATGAAAAAGTTTGTCTTTGCATATAGTTTCTTGTGTCGGCCTATCAAATTACAGCGTAAAGTTATGCTCCGCTTGCAATCACTTCAACTCAGCTCTAAAGAAAACTCAAAAAACTCCAGCGTCAGGAATAAAGTGTTCTGGCAACCTCTGAAAATTCGTTTTACTGATCGTGCCACACAAATTTAAAGCAAGCGGTGCTCAAGAGCAAACAAACATAACTACATATGATAAAATTCATAGAAAAAAATACAAAGCCGAAAACAATTGCCCTCACTCATGGAAGTTCTTGTGGAACTGTGTGAAAATTGATGTAAAAGGATTACGCCTTACATAATATGATTTGTTGTAGGTACTTTAAGGAACTGAAAAGCAAAAAAGAAAAAAGAGCATGCAAGTGAATAAGTAGTGATTGAAGTACTCTTATTGCAGAGGTGTAACGTCCCCATTAGTTTTATTTAGTATTGTAAGCATCGTTAGCAAAGGCTTGTTTTCACACTGGTTCTGTTTGTTGTGAATATTGAGTGAATTTAATTATGAAATTGCGTAATAGTAAGAAACGTTCACTGCTGAAATTTCGTTCACTTGAATACGAGTCTGCCTTTGGAAATATACTTTATTACTTTCATAAGTAGACATCTCTATTTCTCTTTCCTTAATTGAGAAATCAAAATGGTTTCACTCAAATAGTAATTGCGAATGCCTTATAAAACATTCGATAAATCTAGACTATCTCAAAGAACAGAACATCCGCCTTAGAAAACTCCATGGAGTTACATTTCTCAATCACAACTTGTGGGGATCGTATTTACATAGATTACTTTCCACAATATTTTTTGAAACCAATAGAAAAATTAAACGATACAACATGATCCAATAAAAAGGTCTTCAGTCAAACAGTTATGATATCCATATCAAAGAAACATTTTTACAGTCTCAACAATTTATTCGTAAATAGCTGAAACTAAAATTCTGGAACAGAAGCAACTTGGTCAGTATAGAAAAAGTTCAATCAATAGCTTGAGTAAGGCAAGTTCTCAAATAAAATCAAAAACATTTGATCTGACTCTCTGGAATATCAAAAAACACCTACGACTAAGTGAATCAGCTCACAAATTCTAAGACTTGGCTCTTATATGATACGTTCGCCGAGACAAACTTTTCTGTTAATAAAGGGAACCAGATCTGGCAAAAGGAATATTTTGACAGGTAGAGAGCTCAAAATGGCCAAGTAGTATTCCTCATTGACAGCTTGACCTTGTGAAATGAACTCATTGGAGAAGAAAATCACGATAAGCAGAAAATCGATCGGTATCACATTCATTCCTTACTGACTTTAAGGTGGTTTTTCGGTTTCGGCTCATTTTTAGAGCATAATTTTTCAGACTTTTGAACACTTTTGACATCATATTCATAAACCAACGTTCCGTCTCTAGTAATTATATAGAGGTATTCGCTATAAGTCGGTGCCGAACGTTCCATTAGAGTCGCGGTGCAATCCCCGTTTATATATCTATATATATGATCTTCTTCTCTCTTCATTTCCGGTTATTGTTGAATGTAGGCTTCATATATACAAAGCCTGCCCTGTTAAAGTGATAAAAGAGATTCATAATACTATAGAAGTAGCTTAATAATCTCTCTCTTAATTTAATGTTCTGCCAATTTTTTACATATATGATATACCAGTTATACCTACCAATAATATACACTGCTCTTTTCATTATGTGCTTACCAGTCTTACTTTTTTCTCATATTATATTTTTTTCAAGTTCATAATTTCTTCACTTTCTAATTGATCTTTTCTTTAGTATTTATGAGGCTAGTTCTAGATCAGGGCCTTAATTACATACCTATAGATGGCGTAACAGTCCGTTAACTGAAAATATTCTTAACAAAATATAATATTACACTAATTTTTACTATAATGACTTTCCACACCAAAGGACCAAACAAAAGTTGCTAGTTTTCTTTCTCAATATATGCTGACAATTCATTTAATTTGTAAGCCCCCATAAACAAATGATCCGTGGTCAATCAGACACTCACAAGCCCACTCTACGTTTATTTCTAAACAATTAGTGAATCATCCGAGCATTGCTTTTATCTGCCGATTACTTAGAATCCTTTTAAAGCAAGCCGTTCGCCTAAAAGGATATCACCAATACAAAGAGCAGCCTCTTCCCTGATTAGCGGCTCACGCAATACAGAGACGCACATGCATAAATACTTGCGCGAAAATATTATATATACATAGAACTATATACATATAAGTAGATATGTATATACAAATGTCGTTGTCATATTCTACTTGTTCTCGGTACATCCAATCGGGCAATTGTGTGGTTTGCTTTGTTTCGAGGTAAAAATGACAAGCGTATTGAATTTGAACAATGAGCCTCCTGCCGGTAATTCAAGTAGATTCCTCTTAGAAACGTCACAGGCATGCCAAACAAATGGATGAGTCGTAGCAAAGCAGGATAATCGCCATAACATGCACGACAACACAAATGCATATAGTGAATAAAATATTTTTTGGTTGAAATTTTTTAATGAAAGTAGAAAGAAGAGGAATGTGCCATATATATATGCCTATTGTGCTGCCTTTTTGTTTTTGTAAACTGATTTTGAATGGTAATAAATTTGTAAGTAACAGCTAAAAGGAGAATATAGCCGCCACCTTCATAGAAACTGCTGAAGAAATCAAAAAACAAAATCCAAAAAACAAAAAACAAGACAAAAGTAGAAGAACAGCGACTGTGATAAGCGTGAAATGCACACAGGACGACAAAGTGCCTGCTGCCTTGTTCGTAGTTGACACACAAAATTATGCCCTCACACTTCTTGCACCATCTGAGTATGGGAAAAACCCCAATTGACTGAGCATGACTGCCGAGGCATGCGCTGCAAATGTAACTGTCTCAACACATGTGTTTGTTGTTGTAGGTGTGCGCTCGTGAAAATCTCACTTATCAATACCTACTATCGTTCAGCGAAACCGGCGCAAGCGATCAGACGCAACAGCATTTTTGACTAAATCCATGGGATATCTCGGCGATCTGCAAGCAACAGGTAAAGCCATGCGAGATCTGTCAGCGCATGTGCGTGTGCTTGTATGGTTGTGTGCGGGTGCTTGTGAAACTCACCACACCTGCATGTTCAGTCTCTGCGCCAAATATGCCAAAACGGCGTCTACTAAAATGTAAACAAAACAAGTTCATCGGTACAAAACGCCGGCTGGCAAATATTTGTTGTGGATTTTTTGCTTGCAACACGTTCAGGTAGAACACGTTGCAAATGCGTTGCGTACGAGCATGCAATTTGTATGCACAACTATGTGGTTCGTTGAAAGATAAGTCTCTTAGCTTTATAAAACAGATTTAAGGGGGCTCGCAGATATTGTTAAAAAAAAGTCAGTCCAAAATGGACTCGTCTTTAGAATGTGATTAAAACCTTTGACCTAGATTACATGAGATTGAGAGTTGCGGTACTACGACCCATAATCTGTTAGACTTTGCTGTTCCCCAAACACTTTATTTAGCCCAGATGAGTCCAATAGGGTACTCGTAAAGTGAACGCTTAAAGTCGAGCTCAGCACATTTTCCCACTTACAAAACACACGCATTTACGATATTCTCGGCTTTCAGCGTCTATTGTGCGGGCACACTTAAGCTTGGTAAAGCTCCTGGATGAATGGTTGTGTTATGTTCTCAAACCGAATTTATTTTCCCGACAACCTGACTCCTTGCCATTGTGGGATAAACAAGGATTATGAGCTCTGATGCCTCTGTCTCCTGGTCGCAGAAGCGACACAGGGCCTTTAGAGGCATCTGACTCATTGCAGCGATACATTTCCTGAATTGAAGAATTCTTCAAGTTTTAAGTAGTCTCTGAACAAAATATCCATTCATACCGCGTCCTATGTGTGGACCACCAAGTGAAAGTGGACAAACCGATTAAAGAGTTTTTATGACGGCAAGTGGTAAAGCAATATAGATTTCTCAATATCTGAGACTATGTAACGTTACCTTGTTGTTTGAAGTTTTAATGAGAATATTTTTCAGTTTTGCCAAATCGACCGTTTAGAACAGCAGCGACATGTCTTGTTGGCATATTTTCGACGTCTACAGTTACTAACTCTTAATCAACCAAGTCAACCAAGTTTTTAAGGATGGCTAATGATCTATGTTCGAAAACATAAATTTATTTCCAATAACTATAGAGGATACTTTCTCCAACCTCTCCAACCACATCAAAAATTTGCACATTGCGATAGAAGACTATTTTATTTGTCCACTTTTTGACATTCTTCAAAGATACTAGAATTTAATACCTAATCTATTTTTGAGAGTCATAAGTTCATCGAAGAAGAACAACGTCAATGCCGAGTGCGGCACTAAGCGCACATAATTCGCCCAATAGCCTTTATATAGTCCATAAAGGCCTTCAGCGCGGGCGGTCTTCATAAAACAATCCAACCAACCATTGTACAAGAGACCCTTACCATTCGCATCCAAACCCTGATTGTAGATACGTGTCATCATAACATCCGCCGGCGTCATGGCCACAGTTACACAACAACCGGCAATGAAACCACCACAGAGCGAATTCAAGGCCGGCTGAACGATCAGATTTTTTTCGCGCAGAAATGACTTGATCGGACCGAATGTCGCCAATTGAGTGCCGGAGCCGATTGAGGCGCGCGTAATGGAAGCTGTAGAGCCGCGCCATAATCCAGAGATACCGCCTTGTCGATAGACTGTGCGGAGCGCTGATAGCATGCCCGTGTGTTCGTGCTGATAGCCGACGGCGACTTGCTTCGATGCGCGCGATTGCAGTTGAGTCTTTATCTGCGGGATGTAAAATGCCGAAATATGGAACTTCATTCTATTTGCGCACACTTTTTAAATAAATAAATAGATAAGTGAATGAAATCTTTCGGATTATCACATGGTTATCTAGCCAAAGCTAATGTTACGTCTCGTTATCTGTGACTGTTTATCTAGAACGTATGTACGTTTGACATTCAGAAAATATGAAATAGTCTGACAGTGTTAGCTAAAAATTTTTTATTTTTATACAAACCATAAAAAATGGACTGGAAAAGTACGCGCCTAGCGCACCACCGGCGGCACCCCAGAACAGATTCAAGCCGAAAGACTCCTCGTCATTTTTATTGCGTGTCCAACCCATATTCGCAGCGCTGGCATGGATGCCCAATCTATTGAAAACATTTACGAAATGTTGTAATTTTTTTAACGATCTCAAAGTAACTAGTTCCAAAAGAACTAGTCTCTAACTAGTTTAAAAGCACCTAGATCAAACTAGTTTTAAGAAATATACTATAATTAATATAAATTTAAAAACATTTTAACTAGTCTCAAAATAACTAATTCCAAAAGAACTTGTCTCGAACTAGTTTAAAACCACATAGTATCAAACTAGTTTCAACAAATTTACTTTAATACAACCAGCTTACGTCACCCACCTCACACCATTTACGATGAACTGAAAGTACATGGTCGGCACCAGCCCCTTCTGTAAACCCGTCCAACCATCGTTACGCACCACCGTGACCATACCGTGCAAAATACCCTTGTACGGCACAACATAGGTGCCACGTGCCGCCAACTCACCCTGTAGCTGTATGCGTGTTTTAACGACCTTTCCGAAAAAATATACTGTTACTTGCTATTTATTTAATAATTTCATCTCCAGATTTACATCGATTGGATTGGTGAAAGTTGTCGCACCCATGGCAGCCAGACCTCCAATTACATATTCTGAAGCGTTCATTACGAAAAAATATGCACGTTTGAACTATTTATAAAAAAATATATTTGAAAAGTTATGGAAGATTATGAAAAAAGTTCCATTAATATTATAGATCGGGTATTTTTTCTCTCAATGCCTCGTAGTGCTGTTCCAGTCAGCTGCTGCCAAATGACTGATTTTTCATAATATTTGAAGAACTGCATCAGTTTTCTTGATATCATTTAGATAAACTTTACCACTTAGTTGCTTATCTTATTTCTAATATACGTGAGAGATCATAATCCAGTTGTAGAGAGTAAGAGAGTAAAAGTAAATAGAGAAATACTTATGAGATACTAATATATAGTAAGTTAGTACAAAAAAAATCTGTCCAAAAAATTATCTTCATAGTGATGATAAAAAAGAGTCACATAGTCTAGTAGTTTGGTACAGATTGTGATATGGCGGCTTCATCGGGTTTTATTTCTTTCATTATCATTAATAGCGAGCACCATAATAGGCTGTCGACCGACTCTTTTCCGGAAATTTGATAAATTCGAGGCGGATGATCTCTATTTTCAACTACACGATACAACGCTTCATACTTCACGTCAAAACATGGACACATTGCGGCAACTCGTTAATTTCGACAGATTATCTTTTCTGCACTATAAGGTCCACAGTCGGATCTCGTGTTGATAAAATATTGCTTTTTGAAGGGCGAACAAACTTGCCTTATTAAAGAGTTTGCGGACACTGCACTAGGAAAAACAACCGTCATAAAATATTTTTCGGATGACCGTAAATTGATGATGTTCGAGATAGCAGGCACTCTAACCATAGCATCTGAACGAGTATATCACATCGTTGGAATTATTTGTATACTAGTGAGCTCTATGATGCTACGGGAGCTCATTTTTGACCAAAAACAATGACGAGTTGATGTTTCGGAGCAGTGTTTCCAGATGTTGAAGCGCACTAAGCCCGAGTTTTTGCATCAATATGTGACAATGGATGAATCATGGCTCCATCATTTTGTTCCGAAGTCCAATCGACAATCTTCCGAGTGGACTGCACACGATGAACCCGCTCCAAAACGTGGTAAAGTTGAACAGCTGGAAATGTTGTGGCGTCTATATTTTGGGATGCGCGTAGAATAATTTTTTTCGACTATCTTAAAAGAAGATGAACCATAGCGACTTTTATATACCGTTGTTTTGCTAAGTTTTATTTTGTTAACATTGCTTCGAATTTACAAATATCATTATATTCACTCGAGATAAAGACTCTAAGGAAGGAGACAGTTTGACCAATACTTTAGAGTTTGTTAACAAAACTGAGGTAATCAAATTGATAGATTCCACGAAAATGGGACTTCCAAATAGCAAGCTCCTGTCAAAGCTATAAACTCCTAATATCAGAAAGAGCTAACGGCATACAGTATTATGGCCTATTCACTGACAACTTTCTTCGTTTTGATTATTCATAATTTGTCAACGAAGCGACGAAAACAAGGCAAAGGGTAAGTTAGAATGAACATTTTTCTTCCCTGTACTAAAAATGATGACTTTTGTTTGGCAAAGTTTAAAATGATGAAAGGTGGCCAACATTTTGTTTTGCCTCCCTGATTTCTTAATACTGAAGAGAAACTATAGTAGGAAACCCAAATCCTGAAATATTTGGAAATAACTTACATAAATCACTTAAAACCCTTCATAAAGCTTCAAAATATTTGTACATAAAGCTGTCAAACTTCAAGCACACAACCACAACTTCACCTACGAACATCCGAGCAAGTTTGGGTTTGCATTGCACTAAATGTGGTGAGTAACACCGCTAATTATCTTCTGGCGCAACGCACGCATGTTCGAACACAAACAAACATGCCAGCGCATGCACGGACAGTGCAGTAGAAAACTCACCAAACTGCAGCATTGACTGGCATTGATAAGTGTGCATTGCCAAAGATCATCAAAGAAGCAAACGAAATCGAAGGCACTGCCGTCGAAGACTGGTGAATAGCGCGTCAGTTCTACGTGGTGACTCAAAGTGAGTGGATGTGAAAACGGAAAACAATCGAAGAGAAGTGCACGCGCGTTTTAACAAAAGAATTTTTTTTCCATTTGTGTTTTGATATATGGAAATGGCAGTGTGAAAACAAAATTGATAATAAGAAAGTGCAGAAATTATGCAAAGTAAGTTGGATGTGATAATTGCTTGAGTTTTGTGTGCGCAATAGTGATAAATAGAAATATGCCTAAAATAACGAAAAAGTAAAGTTTTGGGAAAAGAAAAAAAATATACATATGAATGTGTTGTTGTAATTGAAGGTATACAAAGCGTAAATTTTAGAAAATGTGTAAAGTGAATTTTGGGCAGTTTTTATGCTAAAAAATTTGTTAAGTTAAAAATATATATTATTTGCAAAACAAATATATTCAGCTAATTGAGAATATAGTTTTTATCAAAAAATGCATAGTTAGTTTGAAAAATAAATTTTGCTACTGGGGGCGCCAGATCTCATCAGTGTATGAGGTGCATTTTTTCATAGCCCTTTTTCTGAGGATATACGAAAATAGAAATGTGTCGCAGCATGCAATTGCATCCATGTCGCTCGCAACAGGCTTCGTCATCGTCATGGCACGGTCGTCTCTATGTTCGTTTTAATTTTGGCCGACGCTGTCGTACGCGCTGATGCATGCGATATTTTTCGCGAGGCTGTGTGCGGCCCCATTATGCTACGGTGACCCCTTTCTCAGCACATACAGTCCTTCACAAAAAGTGGCAGCATGTTGAAAAAAGATTTTGCAACAAATCAAAGTGTTAAGTATACCAAAAAATTTTGACAGAAGATATATAATAATAAATATATTTTGCTTTTAATTAAAACAATATTTTCTGTAAGAAAGATTAAAAAAAAAGTTTAAACAAAAATATATTTTCTTCAAGAAAATACAAAAAAGAATAACCTGAAAAAAAAAATTGAGAAAAAAAAAATTATCAAAATATTAAAAAAACAAATTAAAAATAAAACAAAAAATAAAAAGAAAAATTACAAAAAATAAGAATATTATAAAAAATGTTTGCACGTGCAAATAAAACGAGAAACAACAACAACACCATTTAAGTGGACTTCGGGGCCTAGAGTTTGTGCATCGCAAACACCAATCGGCTTGGAAAGGTGTAAAAATAGTTGCAAGCACATACAGGCACACCAATATACCATATTGACATGTGTTCACTTAGCCCTTTCTAGAGTGTGTGCCAGTGCGAAAAGCGAAGGGAAGTGAAGTGCAAAAGCAAACGTCAGTGTCGTTGCCGTTGTCGCATTCGACCGGAAGTTGTTAATATTTTTGTATTTGTGCCTTCTATGCGTTCATCTTCTTGCGTTTGTATGTGCAGCGTATAGAAGTTCCGCTTCTTATTGCGTAGAATTTGTTTGCGTTGCGCATTCTGCGCCAATTTGCTGCGTCGCCGGAAAGTTTTGACGTGCGCTGGCAAACCGAATGGCAGCAGTTCCGTTCAAATTCATATTTTCGGTATTAATTGAGGATTTTAAACACTATTTTTTGTCGTTGGTGTCAATTAAATGTTAAGTGTCAGCGGAGTGCATGTAATATCACGAAAATCAAAAATACAGTGTTAATTGAAGTTTGGGTCATAACATGAATACTAATGAGCAGTAAAAAATTATGCAGTAAAAATTTAAATTTTGAAATTTTAATTAAAAATTACGATTGAGGCCAGAAATTTGCTTGGAAAAATCAAAACAAAAAACAGAAAAATAATAAAAAAAACAATTTCTTGTTATTTACTAGTTATTAATATATAATTACCGGAAATTATTTATGAGAAAGAGCTTATTATTATGAAAAAGTAATATAATAGCGTAATATTTTGTGAAGTCATAAAACTTTCAGTGCAAATAAAAATATATACTGAAATGTTTCTGCGGATAAAAGAAGTAAAATGACTGAATCCTTAGTTAAAATCGATTTTCTTCGCAAGTTTGAATATGTGTGAAGCCATTTATTTATAAAGCGAAGAAGCCAATATTTTTATATGACAATTTAAAAATATACAAATATGTTGAAAATATTGGTTTATTCGCCATATAATCATATATGGGAACTGCATACGAACATCTGCTTTTACCATGAATATACCCAGAAACATAACGCATATTTTTCCCACCACTAGAACGGCTAGTGATATACAGATCTTAAGTGTAAAATATATGCCTCTTAGTGATCCTTATGCCTTATCCTGACTAGCAGAATCACTAAATTACTATAGTGACAAATTAGAGACATGAGACAATCGTATCAAGCAGAATACCGGCATTAATCTAGTAACACTGCGAAACAATTGATCCAGATTAATACTAGAAATCAATTCAATATAGCAATCTTTCAACCTCAACGGTATCCCAAAAATGAACATATTACAAGAAAACTAAGGAATGTGTACATTTGGGGGTGCCACCAAACTAATACTCGTATCGAATTTATGTACTGAAATGAACCTATGAAATGCCGAACAAGAAACCGCTATTTTCGTTTAGACTGAAGCATAATACCTTTACTACCTGAAGAACTTGTCCAGCGATTGCACAGGTGTCTTAGGCAATAACTCATGCCAAATTTCTTGAAGATATCTCGTCAAACGAAAAAGAAAAGGCACTTTATTCAGATCGTTCGGTTTGTATTGCTGCTATACACATTATAAAGATCCATTTCGAGATACTGGCGAATAACACGGGTGATGTTTTGGTCCAAAGCCTGAGTCGAAGAGTGGTTGTTCGCATAGATTTTAGTGTTAACATATCCCTATAGGAGAAGTTTAATGGTGCGATATCACACGATTTTGATGACCAAACGACTGACGCAAATCATGAAGTTATCTGCTCACCCAATTATTCTCTCAATACATGCATAGGTTAATGCGATGTTTGTAAACGTTGTTCAGGCGTAAGTCTTTTCATGTTGAAATACCAAACAATAGTGAACAAAACTAACATGACAGCCTGACGACTCATGCGTGATCTGTCTTTTGAAAATATTACCTCTACTTCTGTCCAAATGAACTGAGCTCGTCTTGCATACTTCCTCCATACACCTTTGACAATTTGCGTCCGATGAGGTGTTTAGTCTTACCAATTGAATGCCCATTGGACAAT